AAAAAAAAAAATACAAGAGCAAAGATTTATAGTAACTGGTATGCACAGGTCTTGCTTTCACAGTGTTTAGTGTGAGTGTTACTGAGGAATATATATATAGACAATTTAAATACAGTGTATATTAACAAATTGAAGGATAAAAACCATATCATTATCTCAATAGATGCAGAAAAAGCCTTTGACAAAATTCAACACCCATTTATGATAAAAACTCCCCAGAAAGCAGGCATAGAAGGAACATATCTCAACATAATAAAAGCCATATGTGATAAACCCACAGCAAACATTATCCTCAATAGCAAAAAATTGAAAGCATTTCCCCTAGGTCAGGAACAAGACAAGGGTGCCCACTCTCACCACTACTATTCAACATAGTTTTCGAAGTTTTAGCCACAGCAATCAAAGAAGAAAAAGAATAAAAGGATTCAGATTGGAAAAGAAGAAGTAAAATTCTCACTGTTTGCAGATGACATGATCCTCTACAAAGAAAACCCTAAAGACACCACCAGAAAATTACTAGAGATAGTCAATGAATATGGTAAAGTTGCAGGATAAAATTAATGCAGAAATTCCTCGCATTCCTATACACTAACAATGAGAAAACAGAAATTAAGGAAACAATCCCATTCACCATTGCGATGAAAAGAATAAAATACTTAGGGATAAGTCTACCTAAAGAAACAAAAGACCTATATATAGAAAACTATAAAACACTGATGAAAGAAATCAAAGAGCACACAAATAGATGGAGAAATATACCGGGTTCATGGATTGGAAGAATCAATACAGCGAAAATGAGTATACTACCCAAAACAATCTATAGATTCAATGCAATCCCTATCAAGCTACCAATGGTATTTTTCACAGAACTAGAACAAATACCTTCACAATTTGTATACAAATGCAAAAAATCTCGAATAGCCAAAGTAATCTTGAGAAAGAAGAATGGAACTGGAGGAATCAACCTGCCTGACTTCAGGCTCTACTACAAAGCTACAGTCATCAAGACAGTATGGTACTGGCACAACAACAGAAGTATAGATCAATGGAACAAAATAGAAAGCCCAGATATAAATCCATGCACCCATGGACACCTTATCTTTGACAAAGGAGGCAAGAATATACAATGGAGAAAAGACAATCTCTTTAACAAGTGGTGCTGGGAAAACTGGTCAACCACCTGTAAAAGAATAAAACTAGAACACTTTCTAACATCATACACAAAAATAAGCTCAAAATGGATTAACAATTTAAAGGTAAGACCAGAAACTATAAAACTCCTAGAGGAAAACATAGGCAAAACACTCTTTGACATAAATCACAACAAGATCCTCTATGACCCATCTCCCAGAGTAATGGAAATAAAAGCAAAAATAAACAAATGGGACCTAATTAAACTTATAAGCTTTTGCACTACGAAGGAAACTATAAGCAAGGTGAAAAGACAACCTTCAGAGTGGGAGAAAATAATAGCAAACGAAGCAACTGAGCAAAGAATTAAACTCAAAAATATACAAGCAGCTCATGCAACTCAATACCAGAAAAATAAACGATCCAATCAAAAAATGGGCCAAAGAACTAAACAGACATTTCTCCAAAGAAGATATACAGATAGCTAACTAACACATGAAAAGATGCTCAACATCATTCATTATCAGAGAAATGCAAATCAAAACCACAATGAGGTACCATCTCACACTGGTCAGAATGGCTGCTATCAAAAAGTCTACAAACAATAAATGCTGGAGAGGGTATGGAGAAAAGGGAACCCTCTTACATTGTTGGTGGGAATGCAAACTAGTATAGCTACTATGGAGAACAGTGGGGAGATTCCTTAAAAAACTGGAAACAGAATTGCCATATGACCCAGTAATCCCACTGCTGGGTATACACACTGAGGAAACCAGACTTGAAAGAGACACGTGTACTCCAATGTTCATCGCAGCACTGTTTACAATAGCCAGGACATGGAAGCAACCTAGATGTCCATCAGCAGATGAATGGATAAGAAAGCTGTGGAACATATACACAATGGAATATTACTCAACTATTAAAAAGAACACATTTGAATCAGTTCTAATCAGGTGGATGAAACTGGAGCCTATTATACAGAGTGAAGTAAGTAAAAAAGAAAAACATCAATACAGTATGTTAATACATATATATGGAATTTAGAAAGATGGTTAACGGTGACCCTATATGCAAGACTGCAAAAGAGACACAGATACAAAGAACAGACTTTTGGACTCTGAGGGAGAAGGTGAGGGTGGGATGATTTGAGAGAATAGCATAGAAACATGTTTATTACCATATGTAAAACAGATGACCAGTGTCCAAGTTCAATGCATGAAACAGGGCACTCAAAGCCAGTGCACTGGGACAACCCAGAGGAACGGGATGAGGAGGGAGATGGGAGGGATGTTTGGGATGAAGGACACATGTATACCCACGCTGATTCCCGTCAATGTATAGCAAAAACCACCACAATATTGTAAAGTAATTAGATTCCAATTAAAATAAATTAATTTAAAAAATAAAATAAATAAATAAATGTAGTGAGTATTAGGAGATCAGCATGGGATACTATTATTAAGATAGGGTCTCTAAATAATAAGCTTCTTGGAGGAGGAAATATTTGAGTTTTGAAGGAAGACAGGAAGGAAAGCCACCTGGGTACAGCATGTATTAAATTCTTGGAAATGAAACAGCATAATACATCTTCCTAACTCAAAATGGTGCAGTTTAGCTGGAGAGAAGAATGGGGTACCATGATGGTGTGATGGTAGATTAGGCAATAAGATAGACTTTTATATGTTATGCTAAAATTTGGGCTTTATTCTAAATCTGGTGATCATTAATACAGTGTAACCAGGTTATGACAGGATCAGAACTACCTTTTGAAGATCACTCAGACATCAGTGGTAGTGGAAGGTGGGTAAAGAGTAGAGGTGGAAAAGTTTAAATTAAGACATGTATGAAGATAACGGGATAGATATAAGATATTACTGAGAAAGGGATTGGAAGGTACTAGAATGAATGACTACCAGGCCTCGGGTTTGAAAGCAGTGCCATTTAACATGATGGGTAATAGAAGAGAGTCTGTTGTTTTAAAGGTGGGTGAGGAGGAAAAATATAGACCCAGTCTTTGAGCTTGATGTACAGTCAGGAAATGTTAGTGGGTATATTCCTCTTCTTTTGATGCCAATTTAAAAGAGGTCAGCACACCTTCTCACAAATTCCTCTTGGTGTATATTAGGTCTTGAGGCAGTATAGTGTTTGTAAACTTTTTACCTGCTATGAGGCCCCTTGAAAAAGAACAAGGTTGAATAAGCAGGTTGTATGCTGGTTGCTATAAAATGGAGAGATAGTTCTTAACGCTGTGATCTCAGACCTTATTTCATATATAAATAAAATATGGCAACAAGGGTAAGAAGTCCAATCTGCTTTCCATTAAACAATAATAGCAGTAAAGCAGACATGACAAAACAAGATGTATCACTATCTCTCTGAAATTACAGTCTAAATGGTCGTGAAAATTTTATTGGTAGTAGAGAAGAAAAAAATTAATGCAGTGAGTTTTAGACGTGATTTCCTGGCACAGCTGTAATGAATGAATCTTTTCTCATAAGCTGTTAAATATTTTTGTCCTATTTTTTAACCAAATGATTATTAGCTACATCAACTTTTAGAAGCTTACTAGTTCATTAAGGATGTTTTCTGGCAACCTAAGTACATTAAAAACACATACTATGGTACTTAAAAAGGTTAACCTTGTCTTTTATGTGTATATTATATTCACGCAAACAACAGAGAAAAACATTTTTAGCCGCTCATCTAGGATTTTGTCTTCACAATGCTCTTATTTTCTATTTCCATCAAAAGATTCTGCTATGAATGGCAGTATCTGTGAGCCCATCCACTTCTAAAACGTCTGTTAATCAGCCTCCTTTAAGTTTTTTCTTCCTCTACCCACTATCAAGACCCCAAGTTTTTCACCTTCCCTTCTCCCAAGAGAAAAATGAAAACAATCCCTCCTGCTCCTCTCTCAAACGCCCCAAACACAACCCACCCCAGAATTGGAAAACAGGGAGGCAAAGTGGTACAGGTTGCAACTTGCGACTGGGAGCAGAGACTTTGCCACCAGAGCCCGGAGACAAGGAATCAGTCTTCACTTCCGGGAGGATCTGGGCTATTTGTCAAAAGAGAACGTCCCCAAAGCCCCGGGACCTGACTGGTGCTAGGAAACCAGAGAAAGAGCGGGTGACAAGCAGAGAAAGAGGCCCGATCCTCCGGGACTGCCAGAAACACGCAAGGAATGCAAAAGAAACGTCAGGAATCCGGGACCGGCTGCGGCCGGCTAGAGGGACCACTCAGGTTAAAACCCAACTCCAAAGGCAGGAGCGCCGCTGAGACTCTTGAGTGGGAAACGGCGCTGAGTGGGTTGACTGAGCGAGGGAAACCCACTCCTGGGAAGGCAGAAATCAATCCACTCCCAAATGTCGGAGTCGGTGGGCCACAATCCGGTCCCGGCCACCAGACACCTCCAGCGAGCCTGGGGGCGGGCCTAGGGGCGGGGCCGAGCTCTTTCCCCGCCTCTAACGGCAGGCCGACTGCATCCTCAGTACGCCTGCGTAGGGTGAGGCCGGACTCTATTTGGCTACTAGGCGAGCGGCGGCATCGGCGTTCTCTACCCAGCATGCTGCGCGGGAGCGGCGGCCCTACGTCTATCCCCTTCCCAACCCTGCCCCCGCTTCCCACTCCCGCCGCGGCCCCCCCCTTCCCCTAAAGTGAGTGAGTGAGACGGGCAGATGGAGGAGGGACTGTAATGGCGGCGGCCGGCAGCTCCCTGCTCTGACCCACGGGAGGCATACAGCAACGACCCCCTCCCTGCCCCTCTCTCTGCCGGCGTCCGCCCCGCTGCTAGCGCGGGGCCACCCTCTCCGGCCCTTCCCCCAGCCGTCGGCGTCTCGCCCTGCGCCCCGGCCGGGGCCCCACACACAATGGACGAGCTCGCCGGAGGCGGTGGTGGCGGCCCGGCGATGGCGGCCCCTCCACGGCAGCAGCAAGGACCCGGGGGGAACATGAGCCTTTCGCCAGGGGGGAATGGAGCGGCGGGCGGCGGGGGTCCTCCGGCCGCCGAGGGAGCGGGTCCCGCGGCAGGCCCCGAGCTGTCCCGGCCGCAGCAGTACACTATCCCAGGGATCCTGCACTACATCCAGCACGAGTGGGCTCGGTTCGAGATGGAACGGGCGCACTGGGAGGTGGAGCGGGCCGAACTACAGGTACCTCGCTGGGCTCGGTTTGCGGGACGGCTGCGGCGGCGGGGTTCCCGGCCGGGGGTGGGGGGGGTGGGGCCGGGACTCCCCTTATTCGGAGCTCTAGGCCTTGGGAAACCTAGAGGAACCTACCTTTGCGGCTCGGGGGGCGATGGTCCTGGAGACGGCTTTTCCTAGACCCCCCCGCCCCCTTTCCCGCAGAAGCTTGTTACCCAGACCTCACTGGCTGCGCGGTGCGGGCTTCCTTGGGGCAGCCATTTTGGCTTTTAGTATGGCGTCTGCGGGGGCTCCTCCGGAGGCGTTCTGCGCGGGCCTCCGGGGCTTGGGGCCGAGTTCCTCTCTGTGGGAGAATCCGGCGTGGGGCTATCGGGCACTGCGCTGGCTCCTATTTGTGCCTCTTAAGATGGAGAACCCGAGGAGAGGGACGGGGTTGGGGATTTTGCCACCTTGCCCCGGCTCACCCCCCTGTTTCCGATTTGGCGTGACTGCGCCCCCCCTCCCCCGGAGTTGGGAACCCTTACTCTTTGACAGCCGCGCTTCTTTCCAGGGCTGCTGCCGTCTACAATGGCTTGCGGCTGACCTGTTAAGTTTTCATTTCCTACCGCCAACTTCTAAGTACCTTTTTACCTGGGATGCTGCCTTATTCACTTCGATTTCCTTTGAGTTCGCCCTTAGTAACTGGCTCATCAACGCTGCTCTAGACTGATTTTTTCTTTTAGAGTACCCTTCACCAGGCCTTCCCCTCCTCCATTCCCGTCTTTACACACAAAAAGCCAAACCAGACTATCTGTGCCGTCTTCAGGAAACGATTGAGAAAAGATTTAATGTTAGCTTGGAGTAAAACGTAGTTGTTTCATATTACCAGCTCGCACACGGGAAGCCGAGTTAAATATCCTTAGGATCCTTCGTAATTGAGCCGGACTCGGTCTTAAGGTGAAACTTGGTTCACCTAACTTTTGCAAGATGCTGTTAGTTTAAGGACTTATGTCTTGGATTTCAGAAGTTACATCTTTTTACAAGGATTGTTCAACTCTTTCGGATGTTTATGTTTATTTTAAAATCACTTTCCAAGGCAAATTTAGGCTTAGAAGGAAAAAAGCATGCATCTAAATAGTGCTGCACCTGTTCTTCAGACTGCTATATATTTAGAGTGTATGTGGTATTGTTCGCTAATACACATGTTGTATATGTCTGGGGTGAATGATTAGGGAAATGGAGTGTTGAAAGAAGATTGGATTAGCTTAAGAGAGTTGTCCTCAAACAAATACATAAATCTTCAGTTTGATATGAACCAGTCGACTTTTTGTCTCTACACAGTGGGGAAAGTCAAACTTTTAAAAAGTAAAAAAGCAAATATTTTGACACTTTACCAGAAAGTGAATTTTTTAAAAAAAAGTGAATTCACTTTATCAGGTTGGCAATTCAGTGTTTTAGTGCTTTGATATACTATTGGGCTTTTAAAAATATAACGTCAAAAGTGCTGTTTCTTTTGTGTGTGCTCTGCTTTAAAATATCTGTTGATATTTTAAAGTTCTGTTGATGAACAACTTTTTATCACACCATGTGCAAACTTAATATTCAGTGTGAAGCATTTATTTTTGAAAACTGCATTTACAAATGCATTGAGGCCTAGGCTCACTAAATAATACTTCACCAGTCCCTAATACAGTGTTTATAATCTTTGTACCGTTGTGCAAAAACTTTAAACACTTTCTAAGTTAGTAAATGCATTAGTCATTGGTAAGCTTCACAAAATGTCTTACTTGTGTCTGAATTAGTAAAATCTATGCAACTTGAGATCTATATTGTTTACCTTAGCTTTTGGTTTGCCTTCTAATTCTCCTCTTGACAGAAGTCTTTTAAGGAAAATTAGTTTTGCTTGCTTGCTTTCAGTCTATCTACTGTTGGCACGTTAGTTCGGATATAGCCATTCTTTTTGTTTACTTACTTTGAAGAAGTTCTACAGTGTTTATCTAGACTCTTGATTTTTTCCCCCCCTAGGAATTTTTATTATTTCACATTGATTCTTTTGGAACAAAATGTTCATGGCTGTGTGTTTTTGTTCTATATATTTCTCTATAATGTTTTATTGGGCTACTTAGTTAATTTAGAATATTGAGTTTGTTTTACATGTCTAAAGTCTTTAGTAAGAATGCTTGTGAGATGTACATTTTAACATGTATGAAAAATCTATTGGGAGAGTTTAAGTGAAGCATGAATAGATTTAAACTGTAAACTTAGACTTAATTCTGAGAAAGATAACATAGAAGTAAGATAACTTGCATATCATTTGGTATACAGCCTTGAGTATACTGTTCATCTATACATTACTTAAAGTGTTTAGTACTAAAACTATTCAATAATGACTGCAAAGAGGCTAAGGTATACCTACTTTTGATGTAAAATTTCAATGTGGATTATATTTTTCTTGGCTTTGGAAAGGTTTTTATTTATTTATTTATTGAAAAGTTTTTTAAACCAGAACTTTGCAGTATGGTTCTCTTTTCTGTAAAAGGAATTTTGGATAAAGCTCCTTTTTAGAAGATTGGAACTAAACCAAAGAATGTCTTAAAACTCTTATTTTTGTGAGGGTTCCTTACCTGGGATTCAGGTAAAAACTTTGTTATGTTAACAAGGCTCCAGGACAGTGATTTCTAGGTGAGAGTGCTACTGATAATCACTGGTAATCCGGCCCCCCCGCCCCCCAACGCCCTTATATACAGGCCTCTGTTTCATCTTCCAGAGATTTGGATTGAATTGGCCTAGGACTTGGAAAAAAATGGACTATTTGTAGGATTTAGCCAGTTGCATTATGTAGAATGGAACTGCCCTTTCATCAGTATTTTAAACTGATGAGGTCGATATCATTCCTGTTTTACAGATAAGGAGACACACTTCAACAATGTAAGTAACTGTTTGCCAGCTATAAGTATTGCAGCTCAGATTTGAACCTGGGTTCATCTGAATCCAAAGCCTTTGGTCTTCGCACCACTCTTGAAACTGCTGTTATTGTCTTGATATTTTTTGTAGAAATAGAATCTGACTTACAGTTTATTATAGAGATGTGGGTTCAATCCCTGGGTGGGGAAGATCATCTGGAGAAAGAAATAGCAACCTACTCCAGTATTCTTGCCTGGGAAATCCCATGGACAGAGGAGCCTGGTGGGAAACTGTCCATGGGGTTACAAAGAGTCACACATGACTAAGCAACTAAACAACAACATACACCACTGTTTCAGTATGTTTCAAAAAAGTTTTATTGAGTCCCTGTGACATGGGTAGGTCTAGTTTATATACATGGCAAATAGGTGTTGATTTTTTTTCTGTAGTTAGTGTTGTAAATGCACTAATTATGTATAAAATGCTTGTTTGCCAACTTATAAAAATATGACACAAGTGATAGGTAGAAAATATAGTCCTGGTGTTTGTATTCTAAAATTACTCATTCTCCAGCAAATGTAAACTTTAAGCATTTGTGTTTGCATACTCTGGCATACAGATTTGTCATGACTAGACATATTGCCACCTAAAGATCCTAAGTTAATAGGAGATATTTCTCTCAGTCATAACTTGATTTCTTCCTTTTGAATTGGGGGCAGTAATGTTTCCCTTCTAATCTATTATTGTCAGAGTTTCCTTCAGATAGTCTAGAATAATGATTTGTAAATCCTGTTCCTTTTTTATTACAAGATTTTTGTGAATCTACTATGAAATTACAAAAAAATAACAATATAGAGATTTTTCATTAAAGTACTCCTTATATTGAGAGTTTTAGCCTTCATAAAGTCTTGCTGTTATGCAGTTTTCTATTTCAAATCATGGTGACAGAAAAAAAATTATTTGATAGAATTAAGAGTCCATAATCTTCTGTCATATTCTCCCTGTTTTTTAAATCTTGGAAACAAAAAGTCTGGGGGCCATTAATATGTAATTCTTTTCTCCATTTACTTTTTAATCCTGTATAATCTTTTTGCTCTATTGTCTCATTACTCCTAACTGAGCTTAATAGGACACTTTTTTCTGTTGCTGGTTGAACTTCAAATTGCCAAGTCTTGCTGCCTTCTTACAGATTATAAGTACTTCACCAGCACTTTCTGCTGTTGACAGTTCTTCCTCAAAATCCTTTTCTTTGGCCTCTACTCTGTAATCCCTTATTTTCCTTTTGATCTACTTATCTTTCTTCATATGTTTCTTCTACTTTAGTTTCAGTTATTGTTACCTGGGTTTCTGGTTCTTTTTATTTTTACTGTAAATTCTGAAATACACAGTGGGTTTTTGTTGTTGTTGTTTGCTTGCTTGTTTTTGCTAAGTGTTATTCCAGTGCTTCAGTATTTAGTCCTTAAATCCTAAAAACCCAATGAGTTTGGCACAGTTGGTTTCTTTTGTTGTTGGTATTTTGTTTAGTTTGATGCTAGGCTATTGGGCCCAGAGGTTAAGTAATCTACCAGTAGCAGAGCTAGAATTTAAACCTAGGCAGGCTGCCTCTGGAAGCCATGTTGTTAGTCACTACTGTATCTTTGACTTTCAGATGTCTCAGAAATATTTCTTAACTTTCTGTTTAAGTTTTCTGCTTCAGATTCAATACATCCATTCATTTCATCTCAAATGCCTGCCTCTTCCCCCACCGAGGCGCACTTAACTTGATCATTCTCCTTTATTCTCTGTTTTTGTTAATGTTTATTATCATCCTTCTCATTGGTAGATGCTAAAGAGATAAGTAGGTTCTTCTAAAAACGTTTAGTCTTTGGGTTTATTGATCCTAGTAGGATTATTCAGTGAATACATTTGAGTGTTACTTTGTGCTGTGGACTGGATATATGTATGAAGCAGGGAACTTGCTGTTGTTGGAGATTGTACTCTCGATATAATAAAATGTGATAAATCAGAAATTAACAGGATGTTGAGAAAATAAATAGTAATGGGAAACCTCTGTAGATAGTGAGGTTTCACTAAGCAATTATTGAGCAGTTTTTATATGCCAAGAATTATTTAAGTTAATACACACC